GTTCCATTCCACATATTCTATTATTATTCAATACCATATATTCTATTCTATTCCATTCTATTCCTATTCTATTTCTATTCTCTTCTAATTCCATTCCATATATTCTGTTCTGTTCTGTTCTATTCCATATATACTATTGCATTCTATTGTTATTCCATTCCATCTATTCTATTCTATTCTATTCTATTCTATTCTATATTCTATTCTGTTCTATTCTATTCTATATTCTATTCTATTCTCTATTCCATTCTGTTCTGTATTCTATTCTATTCTGTTCTATTCTGTCTGTTCTATATTCTATTCTTCTCTATTCTATTCTATTCTATTTCTATTCTCTATTTTATTTCTATTCTCTATTCTATTCTATTTCTATTATTTCTATTTCTATGTGTTTTATATTAAGTATTATAAATGTAGGGGAAAGAGATAAAGGCATACTACTCCATATAGTGTACAGGAGAAGTTTTTTCTTCTTTCTTTAAAGAAGAAAAATAAATGGTTGGCTGGAATACAACAGACAAAGAATAATAAATATTATGATATGAATTGAGAGGAGATCAATAAAATCAAATAAAATGGAGAAAATTTAAAGGAGAGAAGTTATATAGAAAATTGAAAATGATAATAAGATATGAAATGGTCTGTAAAAGGAATATGAATTTGAATTTGTGTCTGTGCCAAGAGTTTTAACCCGGGACTGAGCAACTTTCAGAAAAGAGATTTTTTTTTAATGTGATGATGTTTTTGTGTTTAGGTGTATTTATGTATCGTTTGTCTTGAAAATAACATTTGTTTTTTAAAAATAAAAATGTAAAAAATAAAAATAACAAAATAAAATAAAATAAAGATTAAAAAAAAAAATGACAATTAAAATTAAATTAAAAAAACTTTGTCAAAAAGGAAGGCGCCGCTTCCCTCGTCCCTTTCAATGGCCAAGGAAGGGATTCCCCTCCTCGCGCCCCCCACTCACTCCCATCCGCGAGAGGAGGACCAAGAGGGTCGGCGGGTCGGCGGGGACTCACCTGGTCTTGAGCGCCTGGAGCTGCTGGAGGAAGCTGCTCAGCTGCTGCTGCTGGGCCAGGTCCCCCGAGGAGGCCACCTTCTGCTGGAGGGCGCACTGGGCGTATTGCCGGCTGGACGAGACACAAAAAGGCGGAAGGGGTAGCCAAGGCGGGAAGAGGGCTCCTCTGCCCTCCTCCCTGGGGGGTTGCGGGGTGGTGGTAGGGGGGAGAGGAAGAGCAGGAGAAAGGGTGCTTGACCCCCTCTCTCTCTCTCTCACTTCCGGCCCGTTTTCGGCCTCAGGAGGCCGGGGAAAAAACACAAAAATGTATTTCCGGAAATACCGAAAAAAACGGGAGGGGGGCAGAACGGGCCGGTTGCTTTCGGCCGGCCAATGAGGGGGAAACCGTCCGTCCCCGTTTACCTGTTGACGAGCTGAAGCAACTGCTGCTGCTGGAGCTGTTGGTAGATGGCGGCGGCGGCCAGTTCCTGCTGCTTCTTCAGGCGCTCCTGGTCCATGTTTCCCTGGAGGGGCGAGAGGAGGGGGTCACCTACCCCCTGCATGAAAGACGGGACCCTGGAGGTGCCTGCAACAGGGACCTTGCTCCTCTCTCTCTCTCTTTCTCTCTCTCTCTGTTCCTCTCTTTCTCTCTCTTTTTCCTCTTTCTCTCACTCGCTTTCTCTTTCCCTCTCTCTCTTTTTTCTTTCTCTCTCACGCTTTCTCTTTCCCTCTCTCTCTGTTCCTCTTTCTCTCTCTTTTTCTCTTTCTCTCTCTTTTTCTCTCTCTTTCTCTTTCCCTCTCTCTCTCTCTTTTTTTCCTTTCTCTCTCTCTCACTCTCTTCCTCTTTCCCTCTCTCTCTTTCTCTCTCACTCTTCCTCTTTCTCTCTCTCTCTGTTCCTCTCTTTCTCTCTGTTCCTCTCTTTCTCTTTTTTCTCTCTCTCTCTTTCCCTCTTTTCCTCTTTCTCTCTCTCTCACTCTCTTTCTCCTTCCCTCTCTCTCTGTTCCTCTCTTTATCTCTCGGTTTTTTTCTCTTTCTCTCTCTTTCCCTCTTTTATTTCTCTCTTTCTCTCTCTCTCTCTCGTTCTCTTTCCCTCTCTCTCTGTTCCTCTCTTTCTCTCTTTTTCCTTTCTCTCTCTCACTGTCTCTCTTTCCCTCTCTCTCTTTTTCTTTCTCTCTCTCTCACTTTCTCTTCCCCCTCTCTTTTTCTCTTTCTCTCTTTCCCTCTCTCTCTTTTTATTTCTCTCTCTCTTTCTCTCTCTCTCTCTCTTGTTCTCTTTCCCTCTCTCTTTTTTCCTTTCTCTCTCTCTCTTTCTCTCTTTCCCTCTCTCTCTCTTTCTCTCTCTCTTTCTCTTTCCCTCTCTCTCTGTTCCTCTTTCTCTTTTTTCTCTTTCTCTCACTCTTTCTTTCCCTCTCTCTCTTTCTCTCACTCTCTCGTTCTCTCTTTCCCCCTCTTTCCCTCTGTCTTTCTTTTTCTCTTTCTCTCTCTCTCTTTCTTTCTCTCTCTCTCACTCTTTCTTTCCCTCTCTCTTTCTCTTTCCCTCTTTCTTTTTCTCTTTCTCTCTCTCTCTCTCACTCACACACACACACACACACACACACACCACAAGCCAAACGGAGGGACTCTTCAACGCCCCACTTTCCAAGGTGGGAGCATCGGGTGGGGGTGGGGGGGGCAAAGGACAACGCTCTAAATGAAGGGGGGCAGGGAGTCCCACACCAGAGGTGGCCCCCAAAATGGCTTTCAATGAAGAGCCTAACCCAGGGGGTCTCCAACCATGGCCACTTTTAAGACTTCTGGACTTCAACTCCCAGAATTCCCCCCAAGCCGGCTTTGCTAGAACTTCAACTCTCTTAAACCTGCTTACTCTCTTCTCATCCCTTCCTCTGCAATCTTCCTGCTTGTTCTCTTGTCATCCCTTCCTCTGCAATCTGCCTGCTTACTCTCCTGTCATCCCTTC